TTTTTTTTTTCTTTTTTTAAGTGGCTTTAGGAAGAAGAGTCAGAGTATGGGAGTGGAACGTTATTTCCACCGCCCAGTACTGAAAATGTGTGCCGTCACCCACAGCAGCTGTTTGGCTAATGTTGACAAATCGTATGTCTAACTAAGGGAATCATAACATCAGAGACAGATGGTACCAATATCATAAACGATTATTGTAATAAGCATTCCATAAGAGTAAACTCTACTCTTACCTGGAAGTAAAGGAAGAACTAATAACAACTGAAGTTACTAGAAGAAATGGAAATGGAAGTATAGATGTATATTTTTCTTTTACCTCCAAGGCTGTGTCAGCCATCTGGTAAGAGACACAAAAAAATTGTGCCCTATTGGACTAATTTCATCCATGCAGAAATAAATAGGCACAGCAGACAGGGCTGGTGACTCAGACTTGGAAGGCACACATGAAGTGGTAACGGTTTTTACTCATCAGGAAAAGGTTGACAACAAGAATACATGAACAAACCCTCCCGAGAGGCATGCCTGCCTTTACCTGGCCTTTACTTCAGGATTTAACGGTGAGAAGAGCCGTATTATTAGCCACATTTACCTGGAAGGATGCATAACACACTACTCTGTGGGTTGGGCCTCTGTCGGGATCTCTGTGGGATGGGCCTTTATCCCCCTTCTGTACGAGGAAAGATGTTTTCTCTCATTTCACCAAATTTGAATTGAGGAGCATCTGTGTGCAGGGCACTGTGCTGAGTACCAGGGGGATTCTGAGGATGACAAAAATACCCTCATCTCCAAGAAATTTAAGGAATCAAAAGAAATAACACATAAATATGGCCAACATGCCCAGAGCAGATGTGTGGACCGGGAAAAGTGCTGCAAGAGGTCCCAGGTTGGTGACTTTCTGTGGGTTTGCTCAGGGGAGGCACCCCAACATGTGTTTGGGTCCAGACTTTGAGGGGTTTGCCCAGCAAAGAGTAAGGGAAAGGGCAGAACTATCAGAGGTCCATCCTTTAAAAAGGCACTAGGAAGAGTGAGTGGTCCAGTCTGAGGAGAGTTTGAGTTCTGTCCAGGCAACCTGGGTCGGACTGTGAAGTGGTGGAAGAACGGGAGGATGAGGCCCCTACTGCATGTCAGGCCTAGACCCGTACTATGCAGGCATCGCCCCTCAGGCCTCATACCACCCAAGGGGGCAGGTGGCACAGATATCCCTCACTGTGGGACTCCATGTGGTAGGAGGAGCATTTAAGGCTTTTTTTTTTTTTTTTTAATTTTTTTTAACGTTTTATTTATTTTTGAGACAGCATGAACGGGGGAGGGGCAGAGAGAGAGGGAGACACAGAATCGGAAGCAGGCTCCAGGCTCTGAGCCGTCAGCCCAGAGCCTGACGCGGGGCTCGAACTCACGGACCGCGAGATCGTGACCTGAGCCGAAGTCGGACGCTCAACCGACTGAGCCACCCAGGCGCCCCAAGGCTTTTTAATAAGAGAGAAAAGGGAGAAACATCAGCATGGCACTTTGGGAAGATTAGTCTGGCATAGACCACAGGTAATCAGTAAGGAGATGTGGCCAACAGCAAGCATACTCTCTGGGGAAGCAAGTCTGAGCCACCCAGAGCATACTCCTTGTTGCTTCAGGCGCAAATTTAATCTTCACTGCCAGCAAGGGATAGTCCTACCTGGGGATATGCGGCATTTCCTTCTAGGCTCTGTGGTTACTGTCCAGATAGGAAGCAAGCAGGATCTCAGCACGGGTGATGGCACTAAGCTGTGGAAATACCACGTGATTTCTCTTCCCCTCCACCTCCCAACCCATACATACATCATTTTTGCCTAATACGAGTGTTGAAGTCCTTCGGTTCAGAAATCCCCAACACAAATGCATTGATAAACACCATCACCTGCCCCTGGGTCATTCTTCTGCTCTCCTTTGTTTAAGTCCTGTGCCCTTGAGGTCAGGATTCCTCTGTCTTCAGGGTCCCTTGGAAGGAACTCTGTCAGATGTGGGGAAAGATCTACAAGTCGTGTCTTCACTGGGGGACCCCAAATCCCCTTTGTTGCTAATGTGTTTCATTCATACCAGTATTTTAACTGGTATGTGCTGGAATGAGCACAGAGGAGCAAATGGAATCCTCAGTCCCGTTTGTCAGTTTTGGGGTTTTGAGGCCAAATACTGTGATGGCGGCCAACCCTATCGTGTGTATTATGGCCAAAAAAAAAAAAAAAGTTTTGCTCTCATGTGCCCTCCCGGCCCCTGGATGGACCCTGTGCAGTGGGATTGCACAAGCCGAGCCGTGAGCCTTGGCAGTTGGCCCCAGAATACAGAACGTACTGTCACTGAACACTGGGACACAGACAGCGGTGATCCCCACCGGGCAGGAGCAGTTTGGGGGGCTCTGGACAGTGGTGGCACTGACCCCCTGAGCCAAGCACTCTGCAAGACACCAGAGACTACATGATGACTGAAACTGTGTCTAGTTTATCCTCCAGCAACTAATTATGTACACCAAGGAGTTACCTGCTCTGAGAGAGAGAGAGAGAGAGGGAGAGATGACATTTAAAGTAGATTAAGTGGATTTTCTTTTATTGCTTTAATAGTTCCCAGGCAACATTTGCTTTTGCTTTCCTAACCAGCAGAAGTGATCAGAAAATGATTAGAGTTTCTCCTGCAGATGAAATTCAGATTTTGCATTTGTGCTGTTTTATGAGCTGAAACTATTTTAAGAGCCAATTTATGATTTTCTCTCCTAAAATTAGATTGAACAAAAATAAGGGTGTACAGCAATTGGAGGATGCCATTAGCAGCTTGCCCTAAGGCAATCTACTGTGTTCACCATTTTCTGTAAAAAATTAGTCTTAATTTGATATCATTTGGAGGAGAGCTGTGTTCCATTTCATTCAACAAAAGCAAAACTGACTCCTCTTCTGCAGAGGTTAGAGAGAGAATTTACTTGGGCATTTGCCCAGGGCATTCCCCTCAGGGTCAAGACAGTTTCTAGAAGCTCTGAACTCCCAGCCTCCTAATCTCAGATCTGTTCATTCACAAAGAACTGCCCTTTCGAACATTTCTCCCCTCTTGAAATCTAAACCTTTAGGAGGATTGATAGTCCTCTCTCCTCTTTCATCCTGAACGGGATGAGCGAAAGGCTGTTATCGAATCCCACCAGAACTTCCACCAAGCCCAGCCCAGAACGAAAACCTATACATTCAAGGCTATGCAAAGTCAGCACAGAAGGTACCTCTTCTTCTCGGCCAGGTCAGGTCCCGGCTTTCGGCCAGGAAGAGGCCATTCTCTTCTTATTGCGCAAAGCAAGGCATTATGTCGATTGGTTCAATAGAGATTGCTTTTGTCTTTGGAAATAATGCTGTGTTGTTCCTGTGCCTGAACTACAGGAGCCTACTGGCATCGATCTGCCTCTGCTGGACCCAGCGAGCACCATCACCACCGTGACGGGACCCAGTGCTTTCAGCATCCCTCCACCTATCAGACAGAAGCTCTGTAGCAGCCTGGATGCCCCGCAGACGAGAGGTCATGACTGGCGGATGCTGGCCCATAAGCTGAACCTGGACAGGTGGGTATGGCTGGGCTCCTGTTTCTGTTAGACACAGAGCACCGGGGCTGATGCCCATGAGACTTAGGGCAACATTTGTTGTTTTCTACCCATACACCTGTTTACTTTTATTTTTACCTATTTACTTTTTGTCATTCTGCAAACCCTTACTAAGTGGCTTCTTTGCATCTTCCATCTTGGTCTCGCAGACACCTTGTTGAGAGATATCCTGGGCTTATCTGACAAGATAAGGATCAGGTTTTGTGATCCACTTTGCAAAGCTGATGGGCTAAATGGCCCTAAATAATATATCCACTCACTTAAAGTAATTGTTCCTCAACTCCGGTTGAACAAGAGCTGATGCTTGATGGTTAATTAACATGCTAATCACCGCATTGATACTGAGTTATAAAGAGACCTCAGGAGCCCTTCTTCGTGGAGTGTTGCCATCACCACCAAACACAAGACATGGCATGATCTGTCAAAGATGATCAGAGCCTGGGTTGGAAAGAAAACATAAGTGTCTTGATTTCCTGTTTAGGATATGATCCGTAGACATCTCGCCTCTTAAATTATCTTACTCAGAGTTGAGGTTAACAAAGTTAAACATCACATCTCCTGTCTGGGGCTGATCTAATTAAGCATGTGCTAGTTATTTAGGATGGCTCCCTGTAAACCACAGCTTCTCCAGTGGGACCCGGATACTTAAAAGACAAATGGAGAGACGGAAGGGTTTAGTACAGAGAAAATAGATCTGTAAATCTCACCTTTCAGCACACTCTCCCATTCCCAATTACAGGTACTTGAATTACTTTGCTACCAAATCGAGCCCGACTGGCGTAATCCTGGATCTCTGGGAAGCACAGAACTTCCCAGATGGAAATTTGAGCATGCTGGCGGCTGTCCTGGAAGAAATGGGAAGGCATGAGACAGTGGTGTCTTTAGCAGCGGAAGGGCAGTACTGACTCGTGCTGGGACTGGAAATGAAGGACGGCAATGCACAGGGAGTCTGTGGCCGTCCAGGGCATCACAGTTGAAAAGGAAATCCAGAATGGACCCAGACCGATGAGTTTCAAAGGCAAGACTGCAAGCAGGAGAGAGAAGGAAAACATAACACAACTGCTGATACACGTGCCCACTTTACTCGGACATCATCACAGGAGTTAAGAACAATTGTGTAAATTTGTACCTTGAATTTAGAAATCGACCTAATCTTCCTCTTAGTTGGGCTGTATGCTGTGTGGTACAGGATCTTACAGTTTCCTAGGAAACGCTTTTTATTGCTATCCAGGTATATGGATAAACTTTCTTAACAAACCCAATTTCTACAAACGTTGTTTACATCAAATTGGACAGGGATGCGGACACTGTCCATGGCTCGTTCTATTTTTGTTTAAATCATTTGAAGTTGAAGCTGTGGACGGTTTGTTGTGTCTATTTCAGATTAGTAATTTACAGAGAAATCACAGACTTTTGCTACAAACTGTGTGCATCAAGTGTCTCAGATAATCCTTCCATTGGTGTTCCGTTTCTAGAACTTGTAGAACCAGTGTTACTGTTTGTATCAGGGAGGTGGAGAATCTAAGTGTAAAGGAGAAATAACTAAGACTCTTTATTCCTTGAGGGCACCCATCTGGTGCCCTCTGGGAACAAAGCTGTAGCAATGCAGGGAAGACAGTGATTCATGTTCAGCCACACAAACAAGCATTTCTTCACCACGTGTGTTTGTAATACGCAATTTGAGGTGTTTTTTTAAAGGTATCATTATTATTATCATTATTATTATTAATGAGTATTTACAGGTATTCTAGTAAAAGGATTTTCTTTTAGCTTCTGTTTTTGTTAGCAGTACTGTTAGTATTTAGATATTGACTAGACCTGCTTCACTCTTCTGACATAAGGTGGGCGTGGTCACCAGTTTAATTAAAAGGCTTTGCTTCCTTGACCTTTTATCTTTCTTGCATCCTTCTGCACCAGAAAGATAGTCAGTGCTCACTGGCTTTGTCAGTCTCTTCTTTCAGCTTGCTCAGGCAAGGTCTTTCTCCTCCGAGTCTTGTTGGGAGAAGCGTTCTCTATTAAAGTTCACTGAATATTGTAGTTATGTGATTACACACTGACTCCCCCAGGGTACTCTGTCTACTTTAGAGGCAGTGTGCATAGAGGAACAGCCTCCGAACTGGCAATCGGAAAACCAGTTCACATTCTGGCTTTGTCATTGTCTAGCTGTGCTACCTTGGGAAAGTCATTGAACCTCCCTGGACCTCAGTTTCCTCACGTGTCCAATGAAAGGGTGGAAGTATTAGATATTCTCAAGGTTCTAAAATGCTAGACTTCTCCTGTGATGTCTCCAGTCTCATTCATCAGTCTGAGGCCCACACTGGATGCTGATCTGGATCAATAAAGAGCCAGCTAGTCTCTTGCCCAGGCTACAGTATGCCTTCCAAATAGTTCCAGCTTTGAAGAGGATGATCCTTACCTGTAACCTATTTGTCATGCTTCCCAGCCTTGTCTTTGTGCTGCTCACCAAGAGGTGGCATCCCTTTATTATCATTTTCTTTCCTCTTTGGGGACCACTTGCCTTCCTGACTAGTTGCAAGTTATGTTCTATTATTGTCTTAATCAAACATTTTTAAAATTTAAAAAAAAAAATTAACCAAAAAGTAGTCAAACGACTGCTTTGTGTAAACTATGGTATTTCCTGAGAATTATCACGGGCCCTTGGTTTTAACCCAGGGACTCCATTCATTCAACAGGTGGGAAATAAAGGGTCAATAGCCCAGAAGCCAAGCCACAACTGAACAACAAGCGTATGAATCAGAACCTTCAAAACATGGCCGTGGTTCACTTTTGGGCTAGAGGTATAGAGGTTACTGACTGGCATTGAACTAGAAATCATTTTAGATATTTTCCTGCTTCTTTACCCATATATTTCCTCTTCTATTTTGGTGACTTCTTAGTATGCCCAAGATTCCTCAAGGCATCCTCATCATTGAGGAACTACTGATACCTTGTTATGGAGCCTCTTCTCTCACCGTTTTTGTTTCTTATCTTCTGTTTGGGGCATATTTTCCATAACCTGTCTCTCTCAGGCCACCCCTGCACCATAGATAAAAACATGTTACACTTATCGTGAAAGGAAGGGATTGCAGTAATAAGTTCAGTGGATAATGTTTGTACCAATGCGTATTTGACCAAAAGATAGTAACACTGTATGCTACGTAAAAAGATTTTTAAATAGATATTTTTTTACAAAGAGGAGGACAAAAGATTGCTATTGTCCATTACTTCAGTTTGAAATAACTTCTCAAGATTGCTCATCAATACTGGTTTGGGGAGCTGTCATCTGTGGAAATCAAGAATTAGAAATCTGAAGGATGTTCAAAGGAACTTCCATGCCTAGTGGAAAGGAAAGAGTGGTTGATTCCTTGTAAGTGAGGTACTCATCTGTCATAGAACCTGTTATGTTCCCCATCAAGTGAATGGCAACTCCCTTACGTACAACACACCATTCATGTCCAATAATTTTCCCTACGAATTCTGATTTCCTTTTCCTTTGGAGTAAAATAATAGCAGTTAGGTTGCTCTCAAACTTAGAAGGTCCAGATTCAACAGTTCATTTCATAGAGAGCCACTCCATCATTCTATGTGACATGTCCTGCCTTTGATTCCTAGGGTTTCTATATAGCTTGTGAGGAAGGACGCGCTTATTACTTCTTTGGGATGGGGAAAAGAAACCTATCATTTGTGCATAGTGCCATCTAGTGGTGCACAACGCAATCTATCCTAGTGTCACAAAAATTCACGTAAAGTTGTTTGACAAAGGGAATTAATAGCTAAACAGTCAGGATCTTTAGGACACACGTGGGCAAATTTTCACTTCAAATCTATAGTTTTCTTATTGTCACACTTCTTTACTTAAATCACCCATAAAAATTCCATGTCATTATGAGGCTAGTACACCAACTCTTTCACACACAGTATGCCTCAAGTTGGTTTGGGGTAATAGGAATGATAGAAATACATAAATCTCTGTATAAAACAGTTTTTGAAGAGTTGTCATGTTTAACATTTACATTTTTTATTGAGATTTGGATGTTTTAAATCTCTTACATTTAGTTTTCTAATATTTATTTTTGGAAATGTAAGAAGAATCCGCTTACAAATAAGTTTTATATATGCAAATGACAGAACTGTGTCTAAGGAAGGGAGATTTGTGATTGGTAACCAGGACTGGAAGGAAGATTCCTTTCTGCTGAATGTGGGTGTCTAAAGGCAGAGGTCTCATCCCATTTTCATTTTATTCTCACCACATTCATTCAGATTTCCTTAGAGTGATCTGGGAGGAATAGAAACTGGATTCAGTACTGGTAACTGGACACAGGGTGATGACAAACATGTAACAGAGAACAGCCTTTTCACAAACTGTGTGGACACCAATGTGGACACTCACCTCTGCTACAAGGAAAAAATCCCCATCCTCAGATGACTTCTTCAAAGGCAGGGCAATATTTTGGGTGAGGTGTCCAATACTCAACTGTAAAACCATTACCCATTTTCATATGTACTATTATTTTAGAGATATTACTCTCTTAACTTTCAAACAGTAGAGCCATTCTTTAGGAAGAAGTCATGGAGACTGAGTTTAGGACACTCTGGAAATTAGGTACTCTGTAATTTTTTTTAAGATATTTATTTCTCATGTAAGTTAGATACCTTCAAAGTAAGCATTCAGATGGTGGAATCAAGACATTTTACTTCTGGAGAGAAGCAAACGAGGCTCTCATCCTTTGTATCCCCATGTGTATGACTGTCAGGAACACAGCGGATATGCTTTCGGTCCACTTCTGTCATCCACGTATGAGGAAGGGAGCCAGTAAGGTGATCACTAACTTCCTAGAATTCACAAGCCTTTGCCAGTATATGGTCTGCCCCCATGGGGTCAAGCAAATAAAAACTATATAAGGACCTGCAAGAGAGTGTAAAGAATGTAGAAGAAGTTTACATGTTGAATTTTCAGTCTTGAAGTTGAATGTGAGTTTTCTTTAGCTTTTGCTGAGCAGTTGCTCTGGACAAGTTATCTGTTTCACATAGAGACCTCAGTGCAAGTCCAAGGCCAATGAGGGAAAGGATGACCATGGAAACAGCTGAAATGAAACTGGGTTTTATCCATCTTCTTTGAGAATAGAGGAGCTTTTGTGAATCAGAATGTTGTTGCTTAAAGCCAATTATTTGTAAAGATGATAGTGGTCAATGAGCATTAGATTTTATAGATCCAATAAGGAAAATATTTTTATTATTATCTCAAGGTAATAAGACATTTTTTTTACCTTCCGAGTGCCTCATAGGACCAACTATTACACTTTGGGTTTTTTGTTTTTGTGTGGTTTTTTTTACCCTTGTTGAACTAATGTTGAATGAAATCCTTACAACTTTGACTCTGTGCAATGAAGTGCTGTTTCTCTACCCTAAGAAATATATTTGTATAATCTCTGGCTGTAATGATCACTTTCAAAGATTTCCCTTGCATTCTCTAATGATTTTTTTCAATGGAATAAGTCATAAGGGGAATAAATATATTGCAACCAATGTTAATTTAAACCTGTGTCCATACAGGTCAAGTTAGCCAAATGGAGTCATAAGTATTTCCAGAATTCATGCCTAAAACCTGCTATTTTGGAAAGGCAGGGGTGGGGGGAGGGGGGAATGGCAACGTATGTCACTGGGTAGGTTTTCCCTGTGAACTAAGACTAACAACTTTCTGATCCTTCAGGCTTACTGGCCTTGTGCTTGCCCCCATTTTCAGAAATCCTACTTAAAAAAATCTGTCTTCAGGAGAGTTCAGGGCTCCCAGCTTTTCCGGTAGGCTTGTCCCCTCCTCCTATTGATTTGTGGTGGGATACTAATGAGCTCATTCAACCAAATGTAACATATGCTCCTCGACCGATTTTAGAATGGCTGAGGGAGG